GGGAGCCGGCGTCGCGGACCGCGCCGTCGCCGACGTCGCCCCGCCAGACGGTGCGCCTGGAGCTGGTGCTCAAGGATCCCACCGACGAGAGCTGCGTGGAGTTCAGCTACCCCGAGCTGCTGCTGTGCGGAGAACAACGGGTACACGGACCCAGGCACCCTGGCGGCGGCCCCCCACCCCTACCCCGTGCCTTCCGACCCCCAGCCCTGCCCGCGCCAGCCCCTCGCGCCTGGGAAACCTCTCATCTCTCTCTCGCCTGTCTGCTCCCAGCACTATGGGGGTGGGGGGGTGGGGGCTGCAAGTTGTGTGGTCAGGGTTTTCTCGCGTAGCTCCTGCTGTGGTTCCCGAGCGAGGAAGAGAAACCCTTGGGGGACACGCCCCCCAACCCGAAGCCCAGAGATTTTGTCATCTGTTTGCTAGGTAGCACCTTGGTCTTCATCAGTTTTTGGGGGCATGGCGCAGTGTGTGTGCGTGCATGCAAGCGCGCCGGTTCTCTCCATTGAAGGGGATTTAAAAATCTCTAAAGATTTCGACCCTGGGAATTCGGCTTTGGGAATGACGGGGAGGTGGGTGGTCGAACTATCTGCTTTTCTCTCCGGGGTTACTTCTGGGAATCTTATTCAGCTTTGTTTTTTCCATGGACTTAGTTCACATTGTGATTGAGTGGAAAGGTGTCTCTCCCATCTGTTTTATATGGCGCCTCCCAATCGAATAGTCTATTTGCTCGCCCATAATTGGTTTATAGGTTCAGGTTGGAGCGTTTACAACTTTGCCGTTGTAATTTTGGGGGAGTGAAGAAAACAGTCTTGGCGTTGGGTATTCACAAACTTTGTTGAGAATGTATAGATATGCTTTGGCTGGAACTGAACAATGGAGACGGAGGATTTTTTGATGATGGCACTTTTCATTGTTGGGGTTTGATGGTCTTTAGAAGTTAGAAAGGGAAATGAGGAGTAACTGTAAAAAGAGAACAGTTCTATGTGTTGCTTTGACCTTACTCCCTTTATTAGTTTTTGCTGAGCGCAGGTCTAATGGACTCCAGTAGTCATTTGTTTTGTTGATGTACTCAGCAGTCTTTATAACTGAAGTTCGTGGCTCCTTTGCCAGAAAGGATCTTCTTAAACAATGTCACTGTTTACTCTAGTTGTATGATAATCATGGCTAAACGTTTTCAACCAAAATGAATGAAAGGTAGGGATCTTTTTGATCTTTTCCACATGTGCTTGTTAGAGTGACTAGTTCAATGAGGTCATTGTTTTTCCATAATGTCCTAATTTTGAAAATACTGGGTTGGAGCAATGTTTTCAAATAAATATTTGAACTAGTCAGTTTGCACTTTTGCTCCCTACCCTATTCATAAATTATTGTTGCTAAGTGTTGTCTAGGCGGTTCTGACCCTGCATACAGTTTCCAAGGGGCAGCTGATGGGTTTGAACCACCCACCTTGAAGTTAGCAGTCCAGTGCTTATCCTACAGCACCACATCAGAACATGTAATAATATCTCACATTTTCTGAGTTTTTACTGTGTGTCAGAGTCCTGAGCACCGTGCTTTGCTCATGTAGTTAAAGCAGGGGAACTCCGTGAGGTGAGGACTAGCCCCGCTTTACTGCATAGTGTGGGGGATCCGGAATTTTATAAATATATCGTTTTCCATTGTAGAACCAATTGGTAGTAAAACAAAGGAACATATAATTTAAATTTAGAGGATCCTGCTGAAACGAAGTAAAACGAAAGCCACAGTAGGCACACACAGACCACTGTTGTGACTCTCTTTTTGTTGTGCTTCTTATGCCGTAATAACGGAGTAATTGATGCATGTCACTATATAAAAAAAGACGAGTTTGGGGGTAAGTTCATTTTAGATACCTAGCTTAGTTAACTTGATAATAACCGGAATTGCTACTCTCAGGTAATAAGAAAAAGATTAATAACTCTGCTTCATTTTAATCTTTATATTACAGTTACTGGGCTAGTTTTCTCATTGTATATTCAATCATGACTGCTGATTTTGATGAGATCCCATATGTCATGTGGCATAGTGTAGCTAACAACAACAGAAACTCATTGTTTGTACAAAGTACTACTGCAGCAAAGATTTGCCAGATTCTCCCTTGGGTATTCCCAGTGAACACATCCCTTACATAAGAAAGCATAGAAACACGTCTTTCCAAATAAAGTTGTTACAGTTTTGTGAAAGAAGATCCTAGGAAGAGTGAGAGTCTGGCCTTTACAGTGCTCTGGAAGGTGGCCAGCTCCTAATTTGGTTTTCCTTCCCTTCAAGGAGAGTCATCATTATTTTTAGGGATGTTGTAATATTTTCAAAATACACTTAATTTTGAATTATTGTAATTCAACCATGTATGTCATATAGAGTTTCAGGGGAAGCAATTCTTTTAAAACTCAAAGCGAAATAGGCTAGAAAATTTTGGAATAGTGCTTGATCATCCAGTAAGATTTTCACTACAGATTCTCTCATTGGGTATGGGGCTATTCAAATGTGCGCTGCTAATGAGTGCTGTCTATATTGGGTTGTTTTCTACCAGCCCTCTTCATAAATGCCCAGTGAACCCATTGAGTAAGAGAAGCAGAGTTTTTTCTGTACTTCATTGATGAGGAAAGGCACAATTAGGAAATGTGTCTTGGCAAATAATGACAAACAAAACACCTTGGTTGTTGGGCCCAGCTTTGCTGGCCGTCACCTTGCCTCTGTACAGTTCTGGTTCGGGATTACGGGATTTCTACACTGAAAGGTTGTATTCACCATCTCTGGCAGAAGTGTACTAGCACATCTTAGAAGCAAGTGTTGTCGATGACCCATACGTGAGAAATGCTTTTTACACTCTTGTTGTTTAAGTCCTATTGAGTCAGTTCTGACTCAGTGACCCAGTATAGGATGTCTCAGGAGCCAGAGGTGGGTTTGGACCGCCAGGCTTGCGATTGGCAGTCCAGTGCTTATTCTGCAGTGCCATAACAGGACTCCTTTTTATCTCATTATTATATCAGAAAGCCAATGAACTAGACCATTAATTGGTATTTACTATAAAAAGAAAAGTGAATATAATGTTGCTACAGCTATATTCTCTGATACTTAAGTGGTAATCCATTATTGTTCTCTTGCATGTTTTGGATAAACTGTCTGAAACATTTCTTAAAAAAAGTGTTAACAAGTTAAGATCCAAGAACAAAAATATTAGATTGGGTTTTTTTATGTGGCTAGTTGGTAATTTTAATATTTTCAGATATTTTTCTTCACTTGGCCAAAAAAGAAGCTAATTTAGACCTTTATTTCAGGAAGAGAGGAAACTTCTTCCTTGTGAAAGAAAAGTAAGTCACTTTCCTAGATTGATGTGCAGCGGCAGTCACAGTAAACAGGGGCCAGGCTTCTAGATGGCTGCATAAAGGCTACAGGAAATCATGGAGTCTCTTGGCCTGTAAGGTGATCCTTACCAAAAGCACACACCCCATCCACGTGTTTATATTTACACAAACAAGATGGGCCAGACTGGTAGTAAGGCCTACTGTCTGAACTCCAGAGTGACTTGCAGGGACCGTGTACAATGGTCAGGCCTGAACACTGCTCACTGTCCTTGACCCCAGCCTCCTGTTAGGCCACACCCTGAGCATGTTCAGGGTTTCTTACTTCAGCGTCAGTCCACTTGCGCTATTCTGTTTCCTTTTAGATCATGTTGATAATACCCATTGGTCACACCTATTGGAACAATAGGAAATTTCAAAATTGGTTCTAAAACTAACTCCTTCAAGGAAAAGAGAGACACTTATGTCCCAGGTACCATGAATTGATTTGTATTCATCTGTCCATGTTTTTCTGTCTGGTTTCTAGATAGGATCTCAGCCTTAATCAGGTGTGGGGAATGTCCATTAAGTGAGGTAATAAATGTCCATATGGCCCTTGGCAGAAAAAAAAGGTTCCCCATCCCTGGCCTAAATGCTCAAGTGTGAATGGGCATTACTGCTGTTCATAGTGACCCTATGTGACAGCGAAAACTGCCACATAGGATTTCCGAGACTGTCACCTTTATGGGAGCAGACGGCCTCATCATTCTCCCTCTGAGTAGCTGGTGGGTCTGAACTTCTGACCTTGTGGTTAGCAGCTCAATGATTAACCCACTGGGCCACCAGACTCCTTACCTGTCAGGGGCAGCCAAATCTGTATCCACAATTTCAGCTACCGTATCCTTTCAGCTTTAAATACTTGGAGCTTCTACTTCAGTTCCTTTTATTGCTATTAACTTGCTACCCATAATAGAAGGGAAATTGCATTTTTATCCATAAATAGCTTTTTTGTTAGTAATGAAAAACCACATAGAAGAGGGGGCTTCAAAAAGTTTATGGGAGAATTCCCTTATCTTTTCATTCCATTTCCCCATACTTTTTAAAGCCCCCTCATGTATAAGCTCATCAGTTCAAACCCAGCAGCAATGAGTTGGAAGCGACTCGCCGGCACTTAACAACAACAACAGCATGTATAGAGGTGTGTGCTACCTAGTAGAATAAAGGGATGGGTTAACCTTGGTTTGGGTGCCAAGGTGGGATGTATGTGGGTATGGAATCCATGTACTGTAGTCACCTCTCTCCTCTGCTAGAAAGGAGCTGTGTTGATGTAATCTTCCCACAGCCATTTCACTCTCTGGCTCTGTGTAAACGTCGGTTGTGCTCCCTGGGCAGAATGTTGAGGTCGTTGATACTGGTCCCAACTGTAGATAATCAAATGACAGTTCATGGGCAGATGATTGAAATTTGAGGCTAGTTCCTGATCTGGAGATGTTGTTAGAAGCGTTTCCTAGTTCATCTTGTTAGGGAAGGTGCGTGCTGCTGTGAGGAGTGGGCTCTCATGTTTACCAGCTTCCCTTGTGATTCTGCTCGGCTGACCATGGGGTCACTGTGCAGGTGTAGATCATTTCTTTCTAGTTACTTCTAACACTGCTGACTATATTTGTTAGTATTTGGACAGATTTGGACAAATTCATTATTGCTGAAATTTAAGGATACAAGGGTACCTCAAAAAGCCGGTGGGAAAATTCCATCATCATTTGATTCCATTTGCCATGAGCTTTTTGAAGCACTCTCATGTATTCAGCTCTGTTTGAAGTCACACTAATGCTTCCATTTCTTTTCCCATTCACTGCCACTCAGAAGAAGCCTGTTCACACAGAAGACCCATTTAATGATGAGCATCGGGAGAGGCAAGAAGTTGAAATGTTGGCTAAGAAGTTTGAAATGAAATATGTGAGTATAATAATCAGTGTTCACTTAGAGATTTTGTTCCCTCAGCCTCTTTTTCCTTCTGGGGCTTATAAGTATCTGTTAACCACCTTGTGTTGTTCTCACAAATTGAATCCAACTGAATGATTAGACATCACTACTGCCAACCCTTTGCCGTCAAGTTGATTCCGACTCATATCGACCCTGAAGGACAGAATAGGGGATCCTCTTTACAGAAGCAGACTGCTGCATCTTTTCTCCTGTGAACGATGACTGAACCACTGACCGTTAGATTAGCAGCCCATTGCTTTACCCGCAGTGCCACCAGGGCTTCTGAACGCTTAGACAGTCGGGTGGAAGTTCACTTGCTTTGTGATGACTGTAATAGTCCATGACTCCTTCTAGAGTCTAGGCTGTTTGCTGAATTTAGAATTCTATCACCCACCCTTGTGATGACACTGTAAGGTGGTGGTGGCCACGTTTTGCCCATAAGTACAGGGAGACTCTAAGCTCAGTGCAATGTCAAGTCATGATGTGAGGTCACAGAGTGGCAAGAACAAGGATAGACAAGCAGTGTCTACCTTCTCCACTGGCCCCATGAAGAAACACTGTTGCAACGACAAGGAAGGTGGTGTGGTAGTGTCCAGCCTTCCTGGCTTTTGAGCATCGAAGTCAGACAGAAGCAGCATGAAATGTCTTTGAAAGTATTCTGCTGACCCTCAACATTTCCTGTACATTTTATATTCTTGGCCACAATGGTCTGTGTGCTTTAATACACAGTTAAATTGTAATTACTGTTCAGCTGCTTCACATTTTATATTCTTGGCCACAATGGTTTGTGTGCTTTAATACACAGTTAAATTGTAATTACTGTTCAGCTGCTTCACATTTTTCTTTAAATTTCTGAGTACACTTGACACAATAGATCCACTCCACACCCCAAGTTCATCCTCGATAATGTGCTGAACCAGAACCCCTGTGAGAGGCAGGCCCTTCTGCTTCCTCTGTGCCAGTATCTCACGGGATTGGAGATGTGCTCACATGAGCCCCATTCTTGGCAGTATCCTCAGATTCAGTGAGGACTGAGGGAGACCCTGGCTGGCTGCCTGGGGACCATCTGAAACTAGACGGGAGTACAAGTCAGGTTCTAGTCATCTTTGCCACCAACTGTTGTGTTACTTCATTCCTTTGGGGCCCCAGTTTTCTTATCTCTAAATTGAGAGATTCACATTTTTTGAAGATCCTTCTGGGTCTTCACCATTTAAGGATGAACTGGGGTGGGTGGGTGGGACTGGGGAGGGCCTTGATGGTATAGGTATAGCCAAAGCTGCTGCTCATGGCAACTTGTGGTGTTTAATTGCAGCACACTGTGCTCAGGGAGTTCTGGATAATAGATAAGCCCAAAATACTATCTGTGTTTTTGATACAAGTTAATACATTGGCTGGTTTTTTTTTTTTTAACTTGTGAATTGGATGAAGGTTTCTAAAAGAGACCAGTTTTCCATTCAACAATTCCTATACATTGTATTTCATCTCATTGATTAACACCCCACAATGTAACTTATCATGCTGTCTTCCTGTTTCCTGTTCCCATTCTTCTGCCTTTTGGAACTCTTCTGAACTTCCTCCTTAGACAGATACTGCCATTTTGATCTCAGATGTTTGAGTATTCTAAAGTGTGCGTAGTACATATCCGTGGTTCAAAATGAAAAAGTTTTAACAAGGTACAGAGGTAGTTACTTTCTGTTGTCCATCTACGTGATCCCACTTCGTTGAGGCAAGTAATGTTGTTGGGGATCCTTCTTGAGGTATTTTCTGTACATCTCTATCTCTGTATATACATGTATCCCTTTCTCCCCCACCCCTTATACATAATATTGCAAAACATCCACATTCTTTTCTGTTGCTTTCATTTACTAGATTGTGGAGTGCATGACATTCCATGTGTGGGAATACCACAGTGTATTTAACCAGTCCCCAAATGACTTAGGTATTTCCAGAGATTTATCTTATAAATAGTGCTATGGTGAATTGCTTTGAGTGTGACACGGCTCTTGTATATAGTATGATAGAGCCCTAGAAGTGGGATTTCTTTAGGTCAAAGGATGAATGCATTTAAAATTTTGGTTTGTTTTCTACTTCTAATCCTTTGTTCTTAGAAAGCCAGGTGCCTGTTTGTTCACTCTTGCTTGAAAACAGCAAGGTCTTGAGACGTCCATGGCAACATACTAAGCTGTCATCTCCCAGGGAAGGTGTACAGTGGATGGGAGGCAGGACAGAGGTGGGAGCTGCTCCTCGGGCTCTTAGCGGAGGAGCAGAGGGGTCTGTCTGTTGTTGAAACTGAAAGGAATTTTTCAGGCTGGTGCAGAGTCAGGGAGTGGCTGCTTCCAGTCCCTGTGAACCCATCTTTCTCAGTCACCCCTGGAATTGTTTCTTCTTTCGGACCAGTGGTGGCAGAGAGAGGCAGAGTGTCCAGTAGAGAAGCAAGTTAGGGCAGCTGCAGTCCCACCCAATCCCTGAATGAACCAGCTGCATGATCTCAGGGAAGGCTCTTGGCTGTTCTGTGCTCTGGTATTAGGAAAATCGTTTCTGCCCAGCCAACCTCATAGAACAGTTCAAAATGCTGAGAAAATGTGGGCCACTGTGTGTAGTTCCCTAAGCAGCTCTCTTGCGGACATGACATGATGGAGAATCCTGCGTTCCTTCTTACTCTCTGCACGCCAAGAAGGCTTGGTAGTGTGATGAGGCTTTACCTTCTGTGCATTGACTCTACCCTGCTGACTTGGATCTTTGAGTTCAGCTAGTCTAGATTCTTCTTAGCTATCATGGCCTTCAAGTCCACAACAGATTACTTGGGAACTTTGATGAAAATGATGGGGCAACAAGTGCATGGGGAGAAGATGCTCTGTCCAGCTGTGGGCTCTCAGAAAGATCACACTGGACTACAAGCAGAGGCCTTTCTTTGCATCCTGTAGTTCAGAGAGTGTCCTTCAGGTGCCCGACAGGCCCTCACTGACCAGTCCTGATGGAGGAGGAGCATGGGGACTGTCCCACAAGGGGACGGCACATGCCACTTCCAGAGGGAACAGCTACTGCTATGCAGGAACATGGGCTTATCGTTCCAGAGTTTTGCTTCTCAAAAGAAGGCAGAGAGATTGGATTTTCCTTTGGCATTTTTTACTTTTCAATATGGCTCCTCACTGAAACGGCCCCTTGTGGGTCTGACAATGCGAGTTGGGCCACACACAGCTCTGAGCCCTGGTTTGAGACCGAGGCGGACCTGCCACAGGATCTTTGCTTACACACTCAGTCTATGTTTACATTCTGCCCTCAATGGGCAGAGTCATTGGTGGTACATGAGAGGGTTTGTGATTTCCATTGTCAAGGGGAACGGGTGTTGTACGGCTGAGGGCGTTAGATCATGTGGGGTTTCTGGGATGCATCTGGGCATGAGGTTGGTGCTGGTGGTGACTTTGTGGTTTTCTGATGATGGAGGGGGAGGGCGGTGCTGGGGGGGCAGTGCTGGGGGTGACGAGTGACAGTGGGGGAGGGGTGTGTGGTGTGTTGGCAGCCTGAAGGGCAGGTGTGAGACTTGGGGTCTTTTAGTGTGTCTGTCTGCCTGTATTGGAAGGGGTCGCCGGAGGGGAGCAGGCTCCCATTGAGGAGATTGGGAAGGTAGATCCTGTAGTGTTCCTATGAAGTGCCCTTTCTCTTGCAGCCCTTGGTTCTGTGGTGGAGGATTGAGCCAGTTCTGACTTGTGGTGACCCCTGTGTGTAACAGTAACATTAAGCTCTCTAGGGTTCTCTCCGTGACAGTGAACTCTTGTCAGTAGACTGCCAGGTCTTTCTGAAGCACCTCTGGGAGAACTTGAACCCCAACCTTGTGATTAGCAACATAGTGTGGTACCTACTTGTACTACCCAAGGAGCTGGTTAGCACTGTAGGATAAGCACTGGTCTGATAACCACAAGGTCTGAGTTCAAACCCATCAGCTGCTCTGCAGACGAAAGATGGGGCTTCCTGCTCTCTTTAAGATTCGTAGCCTTGGAAAACCTATTTAGGGTCGCTGGGAGGTGGAATCTACTCCATGGCAGTGGGTTTGGTGGTTTTTTGGTTTTATGTCCTGGATTTCCCCTGCTGTCTCCTGTATTTACTGCCTGTGGCCTGTTTGCTGTGGCCCTACGATCAGGCAGTGTGACAATGTGCGTTCATTACCAATTGCTAAGTGGTAGTTTGGGAAGAGGGCAGCATGGCTTCTAGAGTACGAAATGGACTTGTGTGTACAAGGGTACGTCAAAAAGTATTGCTTCTAGGTTTTCAGTTCTGACATGCATGGGTTTATCCCAAACAATACATGATTAAACATGTCTTTATGATCGATGGGTAACTACAGACAAGCTCTTTCAATCATATGCTTGTCTTAGTCATGTGCCTTCAAAGAAAGATCTGTTCACAACAGTGCTTCTGAGATCTGAGCCAGTTCACCTTAAGGCAGAAAGGACTGCTCAGAAGGGTATGGTCACTGTTTTGGGGGAGAACTTGGGGGGGGGGCACCTTGATTGATTTTCTCCAAGGACACAGGACAATCACGGGAGGTGAAAACAATACTGGTGAGACAGAGGCCTGGAAAGTGGGCTAAGGAATTGTTTTCCATCCCAGCAATGTACCTGCTCATTCTTTCAGGTAGCAAGGTTATCCTTGGAGAATTTCATTGACAACCTCACTCCATCCACCCTACAGTCCTGCTCCTTCAGACTTCTTTTGTTCTCCAAATGCAAAGAATATTGAAAAGGAACACATTTTGAATCCTTTGAGGCACTGTTAATACAAGAGCGCAGAACTCTGGGAAAGGGCTAGAGAGAAACACTACCCTCAACAGTGTGTCAACTTAGATATAGAGGAAATGTCAAAAAACAACAGCTTCCTTAAAGAAGGTGTCTCTGATTCTATAGCGATACTTTTTGACTTACCCTCATACAGCTATTACAAGTAGCACCAGGTAACTCCGACGATACTTTTTGACT